ATCAAGACACGTCCTCCCAAGCTGATTAGCCTGGTGGACGTGGCCCCAAACCCATTAGAGCCAGCATCAGACCACCTCTTTCTGTGCCAGAAACCAGGCCAGGCCTTCCCTTCGTGATCACCCAGTCCTGTGGGAGATCTGGCGGTGCTTAAAGCTGAGCTTTGGTCTTCTCATCCTCCAATAAACAATGCAGATCAGTGCTGGAAACTTCCCCTCGAGTGCCAGCTGTAAACTGGAGAGGAACCTGGGGCCTGATGGTCCCGCTGTGCCAGGGGTCCCTGAGCGGGGGATCTGCGCCAGGCCCGAGCGCAGCGCGGGGCTTAGCGGGGCTTAGGGAAACACTCGGTGCTAAGCAGGATTTGTGCTAATTTGACCTGAATCGTTTTCCCTTCTCCTTTGGTGGTCCATCCTTCCCTCTCTGGGCTCCAGGAGGGCAGGGAGGGGTCACCCAGAGCTGGCTGCTGGCTCTCCTGCCCTGAGCCCTCAGCACAGGAAACGAGCTCTGGGTTATTTTTCCTCCTGCATTACCTTTCCTCCATGCTGACATTAATGGTTTCTGTGTGTGTAACCAGAGCTGGGTTCTGCAGTCTCCTGCAACCCCACACCTTCTGGTGATGTTTTTTATAGGTCCCAAATCCAAGTGCAGCGCCTCAGCAGTGGGAACATCTCACCTTAAAATGGCTGACAGCTCACACCGAAGCTCTCAGCTCCTGCTCTGCTGTGTTATTTGCTTTTTGTTTTCCTCGCCTGGCTCTGCTCAGGCTGCGAGGTCTCCTGAAGGATATTTTAGGGGATGGGCTGCACAAAGCTGAAAGCAACGGGGAGAAAAACGTGTGTGTGTGTGTGCTGGGGTTCAGCCTGCTTGGGCTTCAGGAGGGAATGGGGATCTGCAGAGCGTAATTCCAGAAGAAAGGCAGGCAGCCTGGCCAGCCAGCGTCCTCCAGATGGCAAAAATGAGAGAGAGAGAGGGCAGACACAGCTCCAGCTTTATCCACACCTGAAAGGGCATCGTGGGCACATCAGGGTCCAAACCCTGGGCTGCTGCGAGGGCCTGATGGGTCCAGCAGAATCACAGAATCCTGGAATGGTGTGAGTTGGAAGGAGCCCTAAAATCCATCCAGTTCCAGCCCTTGCCATGGGCAGGGACACCTTCCACCATCCCAGGGCTCTCCAAGCCCCATCCAGCCTGGCCTGGGATGCTCCTAGGGATCCAGGGGCAGCTACAGCTGCTCTGGGCACCTGTGCCAGGGCCTGCCCACCCTCTGGGCAGAGACCTGTCCCTTTGTCCTGTCCCTTTGTCCTGTCCCTTTGTCCTGTGTCACAGAAATGCTGCCTGGCCTGCAGAGGTGTCTCTTCTTGCTTGGAAGCAAACTTTGAACTGGGGGAGCTGGGCTGCTGGTTTTCATGAACAAGAGAGCTCCCAGTTTCTCCCTGGCATGGTGGAAGCTCAGCTCCCTTGGCACGAGCACCCCATGGCTCTGGGGACTCCTGCCCTGCCCTGTGCTCCCTCCATGCTGGGACTGAGGCTCCTCTGCATGGTGAAGTGCAGCTCTAAATGGAAAGGATGGGAGAGGAGGAGAGCCTTCCTCATTCCCACAGGCAGGGCAGCACTCATGGTCTGTGTTGCTGGAGCTGCTGGAGCTGCTGGAGTTCCTGGAGCTGCTGGAGCTGCTGGAGTTCCTGGAGCTCCTGGAGTTTCTTGGAACTCCTGGAGCTGCTGGAGCTGCTGGAGTTCCTGGAGCTCCTGGAGCTGCTGGAGCTGCTGGAGCTGCTGGAGCTCCTGGAGCTGCTGGAGCTGCTGGAGCTGCTGGAGTTCCTGGAGCTCCTGGAGCTGCTGGAGCTGCTGGAGCTGCTGGAGTTCCTGGAGCTGCTGGAGTTCCTGGATGTGCTGGAGCTGCTGGAGCTGGGGGCTCCCAGAGCTCAGGAACCCCCACACCAGGAGCCCCCGAGCTGCCAGCACATCCCATGGAAGCTTTGGCAGGATGCAAGGATGGAAAATGCAATTTCCCACCGGGGTGGCTGAGGAGAATCCAGCTGTTTTACTCTGCCTTGCACCGGTTCATCCAGGAAAAGCAGAATTTGTTGCTGCTGGCGTTGGGTTGTTGGGCTGGAAAATGGAGTGTCCTGTGAAGGCTCCTCTGAGGCCTCTCAGGCCCACAAAACCTCGCTCACAGTGGAAAATGTGACCTTGTGTTTTCTCTTTCGAGTCTCTGATGAGCTGGTTGGGGTTTTGAGACACTGTGGTTGGTGAAGGTGATTGGGAAAATGCTCTTGTTCTGTGTGAACTTTAAAAAACACGGGAGGTTTATTTCCCTGCCCACATTTATTTCATCTACCCACGTTTTCCTAAAATAAAAGCACTTTTTCATCTATTAGAAAGACAACACCAAATTTATTCTCATGAAAATGTTTCACCAGCACCAGTGGGTTTTTTTAAGAAAAAACCATAACATTACAATCCTGGGGTGAGGGAGAGAAAATCCATGGAAAGGCACATTTGGACAGGAATATTCCAGGCAGTGCTGATGTTTTGAGCTCACCTATCAAATGTTTGCACTTGGAATTTGTTGCTACTTTGACCTCCCAAGGAAAAGCTGCGTGTGCCATGTTTTATACATTGAAATTGGTTGTGAGGCTCTCATGGTTTGAGTCACTTGTTTGGCAGCAGGAAGGATGCTCTGCTTTCCAAAATCCTTTGGATTTGGAAGTGAAAAAACATATTTTTTTTTTAAATAAACCATTTCCATTGATAGCTCCAGGTGTGCAGAGCTGGTGCAGGCACCACACACCTGTGCTGTGACATCTTTAATGGTATTTACGGGAGCTCTCCCTCAGCACCAAAGCTCTGGGCTCCCAGCAGGCTCCCAAAAGCTTGGAGAAGGTTTTTAATCCTGGGAAAACCAAGGGAAACTTCTCAGGGAAGCTGAGTACAAGTTTGCTGGCCTGCCAGAGAAGTAATCGTGTGGAATCAGAGGTCCTCAATTATTCATGTTTTCCAGAATCACATTACTTCTACCCAGGGCCTGTTTTATAAATGCTGCTGCTATTTCTGATGGTAAATAACAATTTTGCATTATTTATGAGCAGATTTTTACAACTGCTGATGTTACAGCTGCTGCCAAAGCTCCGGGAAAACCATGAGTGCTGCTGGTTGTTTTTCCTTCCTTACACACAGCCCTGCCTGGTGTGGCCGTGCTGGGGATGGGGATGATGGGGATGAGGATGATGGGGATGGTGATGATGATGATGGTGATGATGATGATGGTGGTGATGATGATGATGGTGATGATGATGATGGTGATGATGATGATGACGATAATGATGATGATGATGATGATAATGATGATGATGATGGTGATGGTGATGATGATGATGGTGATAATGATGGTGATGATGATGATGATAATGATGATTATGGTTGTGATGATGATGATGATTATGATTGTGATGATGATGATGATGACAATGATGATAATGATGATGATAATGATAGTGATGATAATGATGGTGATGATAATGATAGTGATGATGATGATCATGATGATGACAATGATGATGACGATGATGATGATGATGATAATGATAATGATGATGATGATGATAATGATGACGATGATGATGATGATGATAATGATAATGATGATGATGATGATGATAATGATGATGATGATGATGATGATAATGATGACGATGATGATGATGATGATAATGATAATGATGATGATGATGATGATAATGATGATGATGATGATGATGGTGATGATGATGATGGTGATAATGATGGTGATGATGATGATGATAATGATGATTATGATTGTGATGATGATGATGATGACAATGATGATAATGATGATGACAATGATGATAATGATGATGATGATAATGATGGTGATGATAATGATAGTGATGATGATGATCATGATGATGACAATGATGATGACGATGATGATGATGATGATGATAATGATGACGATGATGATGATGATGATAATGATAATGATGATGATGATGATGATAATGATGATGATGATGATGATGGTGATGATGATGATGATGATGATGATGATGATGGTGGTGGTGATTCTGTGCCATCCCAAGTGCTCCCTAAGCGCAGCACCAGCGAGGAGCAGGGTGCAGGTGCCACAGGGTGACTTGGGTGTCCCCTGAGCTCGTGGCTGGTGCTCAGGGCTGACCTGAGCCAGGGAAGGATTTGGGACAGGACCCCAGGCCGTGGATAAGCTCCCAGAGGAGGAAGAGGAGAAGGTCTATCGTGGTGCTGTGCTCAAGAGGGTTGGGCCTTGGGGGTGGTTTGCCCACCATGGGTTCTGCTCCATTTCCCTGCTCTGTGACACAGCTTCCCTGGGAGCTGCAGGAGGTGACATGGGTGACTGTGAGTGCCACCAGCTGGGCTTCATCCTGTGGCTCCCGGGCTGATACGTCCGTGTCCCCTGTCCCTGTCTCGTGCTGCTCCTGCAGGTGCCAGGAGAGGAGGGAATTTCTCGGGTGAGCAGCAGGGGGATGGTGTTGCCTGCGGCAGCTGCTCCTTCCCCGCCTGCAGGGATGTGACACCTCCAGTGCCAGCATGGGCACCTGGGCAGTGCCAGCAGCCCCTGCCCGTCTGTCCTGCCCCAGCCCAGCTCACTGGCTAATGGATTTGGGAGCTGCACCTTTCAGCCCTGCCCAAGCCACCCTGCTGCTCCCTGTGCCACGTCCCCACACGTGTCCCCTGTCCCCTCCAGCAGCAATCTGGCCCTTCCCTGGCTCAGCTGCTGGGACAGCCCCTGCCCCACGGGGACACCAGGGCTCTGTGAGGCATAGCCTGGCAGCAGAGAGCAGCACCAGCACAAAGACTCTGCAGGGACCTGCCCCAGCTGGTTATTTTTTCCCTCCCCAGCCTGTCTGGAGAAGAAGGTTCTTAAGCAGCTCTGCACAGCGAGGCCCTGGGAGGCAGGAGGAGGTTCCAGCTCCCAGAGGAGGAACACCCAGGTGCTGGTTGGAGGCTCCAGGAGGAGAGCTGGGATGTGTCTCACAAGCTCAGCGTTGCCATGGAGTCGAGGACGGGATTGAATCCAGTGACGCTGCTGTGGGGAAACAAGAGTTCAACGCAAACAGCAGCAAGTTGTGTTCTCTCCTTCCTCCTGCAGATCTTCTCCATCGTGGTGTTCGGCTCCATCGTGAACGAGTGCTACGTGAACAAGGACAGCCAGCACCCCGAGCTGCTCTGCATCTTCAACGAGAATGAGAGTGCCTGCAGCTACGGCATCGCCGTGGGCGTCATCGCCTTCTTCGGCTGCATCTTCTTCTTCGTGGTGGACCTGTACTTCCAGCAGATCAGCAGCGTCAAGGACCGCAAACGGGCCGTGCTGCTGGACCTGGGCTTTTCAGGTAGCTCTGCTCTGCCCTGGGGGCTCACTGCTGTGCCCTGCCCCTCCACTCCGGGTGTTCCCCGCTCCTCCCGTGGCCTGACACGGCTCGTGTGCCTCGGCTGGGGACGTGGGTGGCAGGGGAGCTGTCCCACCCAGCCACAGCAAGCACTGAGGCAGCCAGAGGTGGTGCCTGGGGACAGCGGCTCTTGTGTCCTCACGCTGCAACGGGAGATGTTTGCTGGGTTTGGAGAGGCTGGCCACGGGTGAGGCTTGGTGGGCACATCTCAGAGCCCACACGGGGGTTTTACCCACCCACATCTCCTGTTCTGCCTCAAGAAAAGCAGAGGTGGTTTTGGCAGCTGCCTCGGGTCTGGTTTCGCTTTGTGCACGAGTTCAGAGCAGCTTCTGGGGCTGCCCTCGGAGCTGCCCTCCTGAGCCCTCGAGCTGAGGCTGGTCCCCGCAGCCAGGAGCAGGCAGGATGCTCGGGACTGGCAGGGAACATCCTCTGCTCTGCTCTGGAGCTGCCTGGCTCTGTTTGCAGCTGCTGCTCTGCCTTCCCCGGCTGTCACAGAGGCTGAGGTGATTTATCCAGCACGAGCATCGCTGGTGGCTCTCTGTCCCAGATGAAGACATCCATCATCCCCTCCCTGCCTTGCCTGTTGTTCAGGCTGTTCTGTCCTCTCTGCAAAGCTCATTTCCATGGTGCTGGAGCATCCAGCCCTTGTTAGATAAAATTTACAGCCCCTTCCGTGGGGCTCAGTGCCCGAAATCCTTGGATTCAAGCGGAGGGGGGACATCACATCCATCTTGTGGCTGCTGCTGCTGTGTGTCACAGAGCCAGGCTGGGTCCCGCTGCCCTGCCTCACACCCTGAGCCTCTGCTCCCTGCCAGGCTCTGCTCTCAAACTCTGCCTCCTTTCTCCTTTGTCCCTGTGACGGATCCACTGAGAGGAGAAATGAGAGAATCATGGTTTGGTTGGAAGGGACATGAGAGCCCATTCGGTGCCACCTTCCGCTAGACCAGGGTGCTCCAAACCCAGTTAAGCTCTTCCAGGAATCCAGGGGCAGCTTCTCTGGGCACCCTGCCACCCTCACAGGGAAGAACTTCCTAAAATACATCTGGGGAGAAGCTGGGTGATAACTCTGGGGCACAGCTGGGGCTTCAGGCAGGGTCACCACGCTGGGAGCAGCATTTACAACCTTCCCTTCCAGTTGTTCCCACAGCCAGGCGTTTGTTGGAGACCAGGCTGTGCTTAGGCTGCTAAAACACACCTTCCCTGGTGTTTGCACTCCATTTTCTGCAGATCCTTGGATGATTGTGGTCCCCTGGCTCCTGTGGCTCTTCCTGGTGCTCTGGTTTTCCCTGGAGGGCTGGAGGGAGAGGAGCTGCTGCTGTGGCTGATGCAGCTGGAGCTGGGGCTGGCACAAGCAGCCTCACCCTGTCCCTGCCAGCTCAGCCCTCTCTGAAGGCTTTTAAAATTCCTGTCAGTCCTCCAAACATCGAACCACACCTGGCTTGTGTGGCTGGAGGTGCTGCCCATGCCTGACCCCATCTCCTCCTGGCGCTGGAGAATGCTCCTGCTGCCCAGAGCTGCTCTGGAGGGGAAAAGCTTCTCTCAGGCTCTCCCTGCATCACAGAACCTCCTGGAAATGCACAGGGGTGGCAGCAGAAGCGATCCCAGCCGCTCCTGGCTGGAGGTGTTGGGATGAGGAAGGTCAGAGCTGGTGCTGCAGAGGGATTTGGCAGCTGCAGTACCCAGCGCAGCCGTGCTGGGCCCGGGCTGTGCATGATGTCATTTTAACTCCTGACATCCCAGGGGTGCCACCAGGGCTGGGGGGACACTGGGGACAGAGTGGCAGCGGGGGATCAGTGGCTCTGTCCTGCCAGGGAGGACGAGCAGCGCTGGCTCCAGTGTCACACACAGGAACAGCTTCCCCCTCCACGAACCAGTGCCAGCCCTGTGTCCCTTGGGCCAACCCTGTGTCCCTTGTGCCAGCCCTGTGTCCTTTGTGCCATCCCTGTGTCCTTTGTGCCATCCCTGTGTCCCTTGGGCCAACCCTGTGTCCCTTGTGCCATTCCCGTGTCCCCTGTGCCATCCCCGTGTCCCCTGTGCCATCCCTGTGTCCTTTGTGCCATCCCTGTGTCCTTTGTGCCATCCCTGTGTCCTCTGTGCCATCCCTGTGTCCCCAGCCTTGTCCCTGAGCATAACCAGTGCCATCTCTGTGTCCCTTTTGCCATCCCTGTGTCCCCTGTGCCATCCCTGTGTTCCCAGCCTTGTCTCTGAGTGTACCCAGTGCCATCCCTGTGTCCCCTGTGCCATCCCTGTGTCCCCTGTGCCATCCCTGTGTCCCCAGCCTTGTCCCTGAGTGTACCCAGTGCCATCCCTGTGTCCCCTGTGCCATCCCTGTGTCCTCTGTGCCATCCCTGTGTCCCCAGCCTTGTCTCTGAGTGTACCCAGTGCCATCCCTGTGTCCCTTGGTCCATCCCTGTGTCCTCTGTGCCATCCCTGTGTCCCCTGTGCCATCCCTGTGTCCCCAGCCTTGTCCCTGAGCCATCCTGCTGCTCCCACGGTGTGAATCAAGCTTTGGGAGCTGCTCTTGTTTCACCTCTGGGCTTTTGACTTCTGAACTACCCCCAGTGTGATTCTCAATGCTGAGGCTGAGTGCAGGGCTTGGAGCTGCCTCCCATGCCAGGAACAGCTGCTGGTAAAGCATCAGGGGAACAGAAAATACCCCTGAATTTAAGGGATATTACAATGTGACCTTTAAGGAGTAAATCCCAGAGGTCTCATCTAATGCTGGCAACAAGTCACTGTCCCCAGGGGAAGTGAAAATGCTTATGCAGAGATTTGGGTGGGTTTGGTGACAGGAATGGCTGTATTTGGTGAAGTGTCTGTAATTTGGAGCAGGAAACCTGACTGATCCTTCCTGCAAGGCAGCTCTGGTGGTTGGGAATTCCTAAAGAATGTGGAAATTAGGGAGCAAATTCTGAATTCAAGGCCTTGAGCCCTGTACCTCCAGCACAGTGTGGATGCTCCCAGGCATTTTATGTTGTATTTAGGGATAACTGGCAAGAAAAATGGGAATAAAAGGGAAGAAGGGAAGGTTCTCCTCTCCCTGCAGTCAGACAGGGACTGGCAGCCTGGCTGCTCATCCTGCTGTGCTGATGATCCCTGGAAGCTGCTGGGAAGCTCAGCATTCCCAACATCCACGTGTGCACTGACACCCAGAATCCATCAGGAATGATGGAGACCCTGAAAACAGCACCATGGGAGGGTCCAGATTGTGCAGCTCCTCTTCCCAGTGCTGGAAAACGCCCCTGCTGCTGCTCCTGTGTGCTCCTGGCTCTTCCTCTCCTGTTCCTGGAGCTCCTTGGCACCGGGCTGGTGGCTGGGGATGGAATTAGGGCAGCTGCAGCCCTATCTTGCTCAGCCAGCTTTGCTTCCAGGCAGGAATAATCAAATAATCACCAGAGTGTTTCTGCTCCGTTCCACAGGCCCAGGGGGATTCTCTGCAGAGCTCTCACGTGTCCTGGAATCAGGGAATTACAGACTGGTTTGGGTTGGAAGGGGCATTAAAACCCATCCCATCCCAACCCCTGCCATGGCAGGGACACCTCCCACTGTCCCAGGAGCTCCCAGCCCTGTCCAGCCTGGCCTGGGGCACTCCCAGGGATCCAGGGACAGCCCCAGCTGCTCTGAGCCTCCCCACACTCCCAGGGAAGAATTTCTTCTCAGTATCCAATGTAAATCCACCCTCCTTCAGCCTCAGGCCATTTCCCCTTGTCCTGTTATTCAGTGCCCTTGTGCAAAGTGCCTCTTCAGGATGTCCAGGGAGGATGTGCTGTCCCTGGGGGTCACTGAGATCACGTTGAGGAGTAGCTGAGCTGAACTTCAGGCAGGCACCACACCGAGATGACCCCACAAGTTTCCTTCCACCTCTGTTTCTGTTCTTCAAAAGCTCCTTTTGGGCCACTGCTCCCGAAATTCCCGTTCCTGTTGGAATCCTGGGTGGTCTGTGCAGGGGCAGCGCTGACCAGCTCTGTTTTCCTGCAGGTTTCCTGGCCTTCCTGTGGTTTGTAGCTTTTTGCTTCCTGGCAAACCAGTGGCAGAGGACGACGCTGACCAGGGGCTTCTCGCAGGGCGCCGACGCGGCGCGGGCAGCGATCACCTTCTCCTTCTTCTCCATCATCATCTGGGTGAGGGCAGCCCCGGGGCTGGGGGGGAACTGAAACCTGCCCTGGGTGCTGCTGAGCTGGAGGGGGACTCTGGGGTTTGGAGAAGTGATGCTGGGGCTGCAGGGGACCCTCCAGGCGTGGAGCCCGTGGTTATTTACCAGGGAAGCTCCAGCTCGGTCCCCTCTCACTGGGGAATTCCAGGCTTCCCTTTCTCCCGAGGCTGGGAGGTTTTATTCCCACTGAAAACGTGTGGCCAGGCAGGAGCTGCCCTGCTTTCAGAGCCTCCTCGGAGCCCCAGGGTGTCCCCAGGAGCAGATCCTTGCGCTGAGCTCTTTGTGGGATGCCTGGGAGATTTTGGGAGCTGTCATCAGCTCCCTCCTGGGACAAGCCACACTGGCCCCTCTGCCATCCACCTGAGGAAGGGTTTGTAGAACCTCCTTTTGCCCCCAGTTTTGGCTCCACCTGGGCAGAAGAACTTGAGGCAGGGCTGTGTGAAAGCCACCTGGACCCAGCTGGCCAGAGGGGCTCCTTCTCCAGAGGCTCTGTGGAGAGGCAGGGATGTGTTACCTCCTGCTCTCCCCGGCTTTTCCTGAGCACAGAGCCCCGGGATGTGCTCTAATTCCATTTTGCCTTCAAAGAATTGGGGCAAAAGCCAGTCCGAGGCTTTCCAGCAGCGAGCCTTGCTCCAGTTCTCCCCCAGTTTGACTGCTTTATGATTATCCCAATAAATCTCTTTTAATCCCAGCTCTTCCCCATCCTCGGCTGCCACAGGGAAGGGCGGTGGGTGGGATGTTCCCGGGAGGGCAGTGGGGACACCAGCCCCCTGTCACATCCCAGAGGATGGCCGGGATGCTTAGGAAGCCATTCCTGGCTTCTACAGGCGTTTTTTAGCCTCCTCAGCGCATCATTTACAAACTAATTGAATTGTTAATTAATGAAGCCTCCTGGAATGAGCGCGGGGCCCTCTCGGCTTTGCCGCCCACATTTCCCACCGTTCACAACCTCAATTCCAGCAACCTGGAAAAGGGTGAAGGAGTCTCGGCAGAACTGACCCATTTTCCTGGGCTGGCACTCGCAGCTCTCCCTCCCCACAGCAGATGCGTTTATTTGGGCCAGCAGTGCCAGATCTGCACAGCCTGGGCTCCCCACCCCAGGCAGAGAAATGGGGGTCACCCTGTCCGGCAGAAATGGGGGTGCTGGGCTGGGCTTTGGGGCTGGATTAGCTCTTGGGTGTGATGGAGAGGGGTGGCAGCTCCCTGGGGGGCTCTGCAGAGAGATGTGTGGGGTGCTGGGGGGATGTGGGGTCTGGAGGGGTGTAGGGTCCTGGGGGATGTGAAGTGCTGAGAGTTTGGGGGTCCAGGGAGGAGATGGGGTGCTGTTGGGATATGGGGTTCTGGGGATTTGGGGGATCCAGGGAGGAGATGGGGTCCTGGGGTGATGTGTGATGCTGGTGAGACACAGCATCCTGTGGGGATTGGGGAGCCCTGGGAGGATTGGGGAGCCCTGGGAAGATTGGGGAGCCCTGTGGGGATTTGGGAGCCCTGGGAAGATTGGGGAGCCCTGGGAGGATTGGGGAGCCCTGTGGGGATTGGGGAGCCCTGGGAGGATTGGGGAGCCCTGGGAGGATTGGGGAGCCCTGTCTGGGTTCTGGGGTGACACGGGGTGCTGTGGGGCTGCAGCCCTGCCCTGTGTGACGCTGTCCCTCGCTGTCCCTCGCTGTCCCAGGTGGTGCTGGCACTGCGGGCGCTGCAGCGGTACCGCCTGGGCACGGACATGTCCCTGTTCGCCACCGAGCAGTTCGGCACCGACCCCAGCGCCTCTTACCCCGGCTACCCCGGCGGCAGCGGCGTGGAGAGCACGGAGACCTACCAGAGCCCCCCGTTCACCGAGACCTTAGAGCCCAACCCCAAAGGTTACCAAGTGCCAGCGTACTGAGGGGCTGGGGCGCTGCCACCCTGCCCAGTCCCAAATGTATCCGGTCCCGTTTCCCTGCCGTGGCGAGTCAGCGCCGGCTCCCTTTATTAGCTCGTTGTGCAGTGAATTCTGTACAGTGGTATTGGTTCTTGTCTTACCTGTCCCAGGGTTTCTAAAAGCAGTGTTCCCTCTAAGCCAGGAGGAAGGAAGGTTGGTACCACATCACCTACACTGGGGAAGAGGAGGAAATGCCCCCTCTGAGCTCTGCTGGGGAAGCCCAGGATGCCTTTTCCTCTTAGAAAACAGCAGAGGAATTATGATCTCGTTCTTCCAGAGCTAACACAGAATCCATCGAGGGTGGGTGGGCAGTGGGGAGAGCTGGCCCTGTCTGCTCCCAGTCCAGGTTCCATGGAAAGTGCCAAATTCACGGGGAAATCAGCGGTGTCTGTGTTATTTTTCTTTGTATATATTTGCTGTACAAAACAAAATATCCAAACAGGTGTTTCAAAACTTGGTTTAGAGGCACGGTCAGGGTGGGCACAGCAGGCCAGGGTTGGGATCAGAATCCAGATTGCTTCTAAGCTCCAGCAAGTTCTGCTTGAGGATTTAAGACATTCCTGTTTGGAAAGCAGCAGGAGCTGGTTGCTAACCGGGAACAGCCTGTGATCAGTGGGAATGCGGCGCTTTGAGATTCTGTTTCTTCATGGGGGATTGGGAAGTTTGTAAATTCCTAAGGAATTTTTGTTTGGCAGCGCTGACACATCCTCACCCTGGAGAGGTGAGGACCAAGGTGAGGGGCTCAGACTCTACATCCAAGGCCATTAGGAGGAAAATTGGACTTGCATTTTAATTCTGGGAGCAGCCACCATCTGTCAGCTTCAGCAGAAGCCCAGGAGGAGACACGTGTGTCACCCTGCAGCCTCCAGAAATGAGGGATTCAGGCAGGGAACTGGAAAGGCTTCACAGGCCTTTAGAGTCCGTGTGGGCTCATGGCCCCGTGTTTGGAAATGGTGTGGGAAGAGTCAGTGAAAAGCACCCAGGAAAGAGGCTCAGGTCGGGGGTTCAGCGGCAAAGGACAAAGAAAAGACCGGAATGTGTAAAATCCATGAGGTCCTTGTCAGCCACCTGCCAGCTTTCCCTGCCCGTGTGGCAGCTGATCCAGGCTGTGTCAATAAGGGCTGAGCAGAGGAGCTGCAACTTGAATTCCCAGCCCTGCTGGTGGCAGCTCCATCCCTGGAGACTCCGGCTCTCCCGGCACTCCGGGGTCCTGCCTTGCCTGTTGGTGCCGGCAAAGCCACCACTGCCTTCCGACCTCGTGAGGAGCAATAGCCACCAGCTGTCCCCTCCCTGCCACAGGTCCTGGTCACCACGCCACAGCTCCTTCCTGCTGCTGAGCGGCAGATCAGCGCACTAATTAATGAGCAGCAGGGAAATGCGCTAATTAAGCAGCCAATCATCCCGAGAGGTCACTGCCGGTGGCGAAGCGCGTTCCTTGCCTCGGCTCCAGGTCCTGGCTGTGCCCAGCTCCTCAAGGTGCCTGACCACGGACACCCCAGCCCAGTGCAGTGTCAGCCTCAATGAATTCCGGAATCTCTGTGGTTTTGTGGAGTCGGTTTTGCTGGGAAAGGAAAAAAAAACCCCGAGGAGTTTAATACAGGGTACGGTAGAACTGTAGCAATATTTTCCTTAGAGGGAACACTGAAACTTTAGCAGCACAAACAGTACTTGTGTTAATATTTTAGCAAAATTATAATCAATTTAAATGTTTAAATTGATTGTACGTGAGATAATGTTCGTTGGGTACAGTGTATTTTTTCTAACTATAACATAACTGTTCCAGAGTTTCCGTGTAACTGTAAAGAGCTAAAGCTGTGTCTGCCTGCGGGACGTGTCCTGCCCCGTGTGCCCCCCGTGCTGAATATTACACGCTCTGAATGTCCCCCCCGAGGCCTGCATTGCCTTTCTTTGCCCCCACACGCACATCCCACCACGCTCTGAGCTCTGCAGGGACACGGGGACGACACCAGCACAACTCCTGGTGCTTCCCGAGGGTCGCTTCGGCTTCCCAAAGTCAGCGCTGTCTTTTCCTTGCAGCTGCTCCGCTGGGCAGGGAGGAGGAGGAGGAGGAGGAAGGCTCAGGTGCCTGAGGGGCTTCCTGGCGGAGCAGGAGATGCTCCTTGATTAAAGCAGAGCTGGAATAACACGTCCAGCCTCACTCAGCAGGCACCTGGAGGGAGGTGAGCCCTGATCCCCTGTGCCAGCCCTGCTGGGGTGGCACCGGGATGGGCAGCTCGGGCAGGCAGGAGCCCACAGCTGGAGCGTTTTTCCAGGGAATAGCGCTGGGTTCGTGTCCAATGCGTGTCACCAGGCAGGAGGGGACAACCCCAACCTCCCTGGCTGTGGCCAGAGCCTTCACCCACCTCAGCCTGACTCAAAGAACCCTGTTTTGGGGTTTGCTGGTGCGGCTCCCTGGCCTGATGGAGCCCTGGCCCTGCTGAGTTCAGCCCTGCTCAGAGGGAGGGTGAGAGCCGTGCCTGGAATCCTGCCCTGAATCCTTTGGGAGCCCCCCCAGTGTCCCCAGAGCTGCTGGGTGGCACCGTGCCCTGTGCCATCAGGCAGAGCAGGGGGTGCAGCTGGGGTGGCACCGAGCACACCCCGAGGAGAGCCAGAGCAGTAACCGTGGGCTGCTGAGCCTTTGGAACATCCACTTCCATCTTTTCTCCTCTTTTTCTCAGCTGTGCTACAACAGCACTCACTCCCTTGCAACCATGTCCTAAAAGGATGCCAGGGCTGTCCCAAAATTGTCCCAAAGCCATGCCAGGATTGTCCTGAGTGTGACAGGGCTCTGCCATCCTCACAAGCTGTTTCTACCCCTCTGTTCTCCCCTGAGGTCGGCAGCACCTCGAGCTCACAGAGGGCAGGACCTTGCTGTGCTCAGCCCAGCCCAAAAGCTTCTGCACGGTGTTAGCACTAAATTTGGGTGTAAAACATAGAATTCCATCATTCTGCCTTTCCTGGAGCTGCATTTTGCTCCAGCCTCTTGCTCTGGGAGGCAAGAGGCTGGTGTCACACCACCTCTGTTTCTCAGCACTGAGGTCACCACATCATGCACTGTGCAATTCAAGTACATTAAAAGATTTGGAATTTTTGCCAACATTTCAAGCTATTCCTAGCAAAGGTTGAAGCTTTGCTTAATTGATGTTTAGTAAAATATATCCTTCCCCCTGCATTACCTGCTGTGTGTCAGGGGCTGCAGCAAACCCTGAGAGCAAACCCCCTCCCTTGACAGGGCATCATTTGGGATCTCACTGCTCCTGGGCATTGGGATGAGATTCCCATCAGATGATGCCACGAGTGACACCCACAGCATTTCTTTTCTCCTGTCCCCCAGTCCCTTACAGGGCTCTTTGGTACCTTCCCTCCCAGTGCCAGCCCCCAAGGGCACAGGGCTGGCTCCTGGCTCTGCCTGCTGCCCTCTCTGCCATGGGCTGTTCCTTAGGAAATCCCATCATCATCATCATCCCATGCCGTGGCTGTTTCTCTCAGTAAAAACTGCTGTGTATTTTACAGACCCCTCCCAGCCTGTGCTGTCCCCAGGGGGGTGCCTCTGGTCCCCTCTGGTCCCCTTCTCAGTTGCATTTTCCCCCTCTGTGTGTCACCAGCCCCTCTCCCCCCTCCGTGAGGCTCAGACCCAGCCCTCACTGCCTCAACTTGAACCCCCCCAGTTCAGCTGCCTGGATTTTGTTGCAATACACATTCAAACCTCAGCTCCTTTAAGAGTTTTAATCTCCAACAGCTCCCACCTGAGGGTTGGGAAGTGCAGTTTCTTTGCAGATACCTCTGTCCAAGCAGACGCTTCCAGGAGTTGCAGTTGTCACCAACCTCTGTGCAGTGTAGTATAAAGTGGACTGTGTATGGAAATAAGTTTAAAATGTTTACAATTTTGTATATATTATATATATAAAAATATCTTTTGAGAGAACAATCTGTGATTCTGTATTTTCGGTGTCTGTGTAAGCAACTGCAACTTATTTTCAATAAAGAGCTAAAAATGAATAGAAAAAAAAAAAAAGATTTGGTAATAACTTTATTGAATCAGGTGAGCACAAGGAAGGAGGAGACTGCAACATCAGGCCCCAGAGATGCAGCAGCTCGAGGGAACTCCCAGCAGCACCTCCCAGGGAACTCAGAGCTGCTGATGGAGAAGGAACTGAAACCCAAGGGAAGACAGAAGATGCTCCTGCAGGGAAGACATTTCACTCTCTCAACTTCACAAACCAAAGGGATGGGGAGAGTTGCTGACTGGAAGTGGTGGCAGCACCCTCAGGGGTCCCTGCCTTGGGACCAGGATCAGCTCCAGGACCCTGAGCGAGGCAGGAACAGGGACTGCCAGGAACTCGTGCAGTGGATGAACAACCATGCAGCCAAATCACCCTCCCCAGCCCCTTCTGGGCCAAATCCAACATGGGCAGGTGGTCAGAACAGTCTGAAATATTCAAGAAAAGAAACCCAAAGCACTCTGCAGCCTGAGAGCAAGCAAAAGTAACACATGTAAGGCAAGGAAGAGTGGCTGTAGCAGGAGTAGCTCCTGGGTAACACTCTGAGCTCGATTTCATAGAAATGATGCTGCTAGAAAAGCTGTGTTTCATCACTACAAATTACATAAATTAATTTCAGCTTTATTCCTACATGTTAGAGAAATAACTAAACCTGGAGATGGGAGAGAATCAGACACTGAACTACAGCCACAGGGGGACTCCTGGCACTCCATCACCTCAGAGCTGCAGCTGGAGGAGTCACTTCAGAGCAGGAAGAGATTCCCCCCCTTCCTCTGAGGTGGAATTTGGGAATGCCAAGAGCAGGAGCAAAGCTACGTCAGCCCGGTGTTACCGAGGGAGGTGCAGGTGTCAGACCACTGTAAACAGATAAATGCACTTAAAGGCACTGCAGAAAACATGGTCAGTGATCAGCAGCATTTAATGTCCCAGGATGCTGTTGGGAGCTCCCACCAGTAATACATCCATGAAATTAGAAACATGGCAGTCATTAAATAAAATTCCCATGTGCTTTACGGAGAGTAAAGCCTTAATGCTGTTTACTGTACATGCAGGGCTACAAAATCAGTTTCTTGAAAGAACTTTACAGAAAAAAGTCAGAGGCAACTTCAAATCTTGCACAGATCAGCCCAATTCTTCAAGCAGCAGAATTGACTCTGTTTGCAGAAAGGAAAACTCTGCAGCCCAGTGCTTGCAGCTCTCCTGGTCACACACCCCAGTGAGCAGCACCCTCTTGCACCTTTTACCCCTGACTAGTGTGACCTTCACTGAAATAGCACAAAAAAAACCAGAATGTTATAAGGGAAGCCACTTCCATTCATTTCAGTGATCCATAAACTTTCCCCACCCCCAAACCAGAAAGAAACCCCCAAACCAGAAGCTTATTCCCCTATTGTGTCCCCTGTCATTCTGCAGATCCCAAAGGATTCCCAGCTATTGCATGTTCCAGGAGGAAGGAGCCCTGCCTGCAGCTCAGCCTGACCCCAGGCTGGATTTGGGAGCTCAGACAGCGGGTGGGGACGAGCTCTGGCACATTCCCCTGATCCCTTTGCCCAGGAGGGCTTCCCAAGTCACCTCCTCCTCCTCACTGCCTCAAGGGCACCGGCCCCCAGCTACTGCCAAACCTCATTCCAAAGTGCAATCCACAGCCAGAGCCTGGGTGGTGGCCCTGGGGAGAGCTAACTGATGATCCTGCTGATTGCCTGCAGCGAGGGGAACTCCTCATCCTCGATATGCAAAGCTTTGTGGGTGACCACGTCCTGCTGGGTCAGCACCTGCCTGCACGTGGGGCAGATGTAGCAGTCGAGCTCGGCGGGGGAGTCCGTCTGCCAAACATTCTTTTTGTTCTTTTTGGGTTTGTTGGAGCTTTGTTTCTCCTTGATCCTGAAGTCGTTGTGAGCAGAGAGCAGTTCCTGCTGCTTGGCTGTGTCTGGCAGCAACACCAACAACTCCTTGAAAATCTTCTTGAAGTTTTCCCCCAGCAGTTCCCGGCAGCTTTTGTAATACTGAGCTGCAGAGATCAGCCCCTGCAGGAGACAGGGAAGGGCAATAATCAGAGGAAAATAAACATTTATCTATTTAAAATCCCACTGGAATTCAGGAAATTCGGGAATGCACTCACCTGCCTGAACTGCCCAGAATGAGTTTTAAATTTATTGAACTTGGACTCGTCACTCTGAAGAAATTCTTTAATGGACTGTATGAGCTGGATGTTCCTCTGCTGGAAGTTCTCAGGTATCAAGTATGATCCGTGACAGGATTTTGGCCTGTGTTGGAAAAGACCAGAAGTGACCCTGACACTGGTTTGTGTCACACAAAGATGCCCTGGGACATAAATCACAAGGCTGCTCTGCTTTACAGCTGCACGTCCTTCCTCCACCCAGCTACACAAAAAGCAGCAGACAGCTGTCTTTTGTCAGGATAACAAAATACAGAATTTCCATATCAGATTCCAGCTTTACACAAACAGAATGTTTAAAATCCAACTTTAACGTGGTCCTGACGAGCTGGGTGCACTCAAAAGACCTGAGCAAAGACCTCAGTGTGAATAATCCAACAGATAACACAGGTAATCTGTATTAAACTGACACAAAGTTTTCCCTCTCCTTTTCCCAAAACCTCCTCTTTCTGTCCCAGAAGGAACCAGACTGGAAAGATCAGAGCAGTGAAGGTCACCAAGGAGAACAAACCTCAGCAGCCTGCTGCTGGAACTCCCACAGAATCAATGGCAACTACAGGAATACATTGGAGCTGCACATTTCCAAATAAATCTACAATAGACCAAGGTCTGAGCAGCCAAAACATTGCACAGATTTGCAGTTCCTCACACTTTTAATTACACAGGGCTGTTTTATGCAGTTCTCCTGACTCCAACCCTTCCCAAGAGGAATCCTTCCCCAGCTGACCCCACTGTGTGCTGTTTGGAGCCCCTGTGACACGAGGGAGGTGTCCCACAGCCCTGGCAGGCCCCTGACTCACTCTTTCAGAGCTGTAGTGACGGGTTCAGAGATGGTGGAGGATGGGATGACAGCGAAGCCCGGGGGGGGTTTGCTGACAGGCACCGACAGGCCCGGAGGCAGAGGAGGGTTCTTCAACAGCACCACGGAGTTAAAGCCTGAGGGAAGCAGGGAAGGGGCAGGAATTAGAGCACCCACAGACCCCTGGCTAAAACCCACACCAGTGCCTGACACACTCTGCAGAAGCACCAAGAAGAGTTTGCAGTGCAGACATCACTATAATGGAGAAAACCTAAAAAAAAAAAACCTTCAAGAAGCACTTGAGAGTAGCTGATGTTCCTCTACAGAGAAAGTGCTTTAATTATTCATTTACTTTCTCAATGGAAAATAATTTTGAAAGCCCACTTCAAGTCACAATGAGAAACACTTTTGCATTATTAAAGTGAACAGAAATCACGGGAGGAGGCGGCGGGCCCGGCCTCTCCTGCAGGAGCTGCACAAAGAGCGGCGCCGGCGGCTCCCAATGCCATGAGAAGCGCTCCAAGTCACGTTTGTTGCTGTCTCTGCTTTCACAAGGTCATGGCTAAAAGCATGGCAGGAAACCTCTGCCAGCACAGGAGGAAGTGAAGTGACAAGCAGTGCCAGCAGGGACAGGACACAGCCAGACTCCCTTTGCCTGCAGCGCCTTCCAAGGCAGATCTTGGAGCACAACACACGGATGTGTCAGTCCTGGGGACAGGGAAAAACCAGCTCTTCATCCATGAGCCACCAGCAAACACCTCCAGCTGAGGGGCAGAGGTGATTCCTAGGGGACATTCCAGCACCCACTGTGACACACAGGCTGCCTCTACCTCCAGAGCCCAGCCTGGCACCTGAGGGCAGAACCTCACCTGAGAGCCAGAAGGAGTTTACACAACAGATCCACGTGTTCCCTGGGCTCTCCCCAGGCAAGGCTGGCCATACCCAGCAGTGCTTCCCCATCCCTGGAAGCATCCAAGGCCAGGCTGGAGCAACCTGGTCTAGTGGAAAGCACCCCTGCCCACAGCAGGGAGTGGAATGAGGTGATCTTTAAGATCCCTCTCACTCAAACCATTCCACAGCACTGTGATTCATTCCCTGCTTACCTGGTGGAGGGGGCATCCTGGCTGATCCTGAGCTCCCAAGAGCTGGGAAGTCTTCCTGAGGTAAAGGGCATTTGTTAGTCACTGGGGGCTTTTTAAGGCCGGGGGGCTCTTTGGGTGTAGCACAGCCAGCTGATGTTTTCTCCGAGTGCCCGTTGAGGACAGCCGTGGCTCTGTCGGGGCCGTGAGCAGCAGGGAACGCCCTGCAGGGCTGCTCTGCCTCTGGGAGCTTCTCTGGCGCTGGCCTGGGCAATGGTGTCTCCTGGGATGGGTGTGAGGATGACAGGCTCTGCTTCTCAACCCCCATCTTCTTTTTCTTGCCCACTTTCGTAAAAGTTTGTGAGGTAGAAGCTGCCAGCAAGGACGAGACGTCAAACATGGTCGGGGTGTTGCGGATCTCCTGAGTGGTCAGGCCCCCACCGCCGTCCTCCTCGTCCGACTCACAGAGTTTATTGCTCTTCTTACTTCCTTTGGAGGTGTTCAAGGACGGTTTTTTGGCTGGCTGGTTGACACAGGGGTTGCTCATGGCTTTGACCACGTTTTTACTGGAACCATTGTTCCACGCAGATGTGATGTGAGTTACTGTCTTATTGGTGGGCTTCACTTTGGACACCAGGGCTGGGAAATCCTCCTCCTGGAAGGCCGCTTTCCTGGCAGTCGCCGTGTATGTCAGAGACATCCCTGATGAGATGGTGGGAGCTGCAGAGGAGGACAAGCTTGGGAAATCCTCTTCTTTCAGTTTAACCACTGCTGGCTGGGCAGAGCTGTGGGGAAGGGAAAGGGTTTGAGTTACTGAGGCAGCAGAACCCCAAGGGACAGCACAAACCCACAACTCTCCACTCCTTATCAGACTGTCACTTAGGGTGGCACAACAGGAATTGGACTGGATGATCCTCGTGGGTCCCCTCCAGCTGAGGACATTCTGTGATTCTATTCCATGATTCCAAGCCCAAGCCAGGAGCTGAAGCAATGCCCAGTGCTGCTCATGCTGGTGAGCGGCACAGAAACAGCTCTGTGGGCAGGGGAAACCTCGGAGGGATCAAATGATCTGGAAAATTATTTTCCCCAGAAATGCAGAACACATCAATCAGCTTCTAAATGTGCTCTGTCCCTGCTGCAGCCCTGCCCAGACTCACCCTTGGAGCGGTCCTGCTGCAGAGCCGATTGCTGGAAAGTCATCGTGGCTGAGCGCTCCGTTAGCAGCTGCTTCTTTTGGAACACGGACAGAAAGAGCAAAAACATTGTTTTCAACCCAAACCCATTCATTCCAGAGCAGGGGCTATCAATGGCCATGACAGCAGCACTACCAAGGCCTATTTTCAGCAGCTGATGATGTCATTAACTGACATTCCAAAAGAACAATTTAAATCCATGCATCACTATTTCCTTCAATTAACTGTGTTGCCCATTATGTCGTGGCATTCAGGAGATTCATGATACTTGAAATGAGTAAAACATGGGTAAGGCAGAACTTTCTGAAGGAACCTTCCAGACACTGAGATGCCCTGCAGCTGCAGGACCTGTCCAACACTCACCTGTGACATCATTTGAAGACTTTGGCACACGTTTGGAGCCGAGCATGTCAGGATCCCTCAAATCCTCCTTTCTCCCCCTGCTGCTGCTGCCTTCCTCTTTGTCCTCCACCCTCTTCTTCTCTTCCTGCCGTTTGGCTGCCACAGATGCCCTGACTGCTGCTGCAACATCCCTGTCCTCTTCTTCCCTGCAGGACAGGGCAGATTCCCTTGGTCAGACAGCAAGGGGCACGGAGCAGCTGCCTCGCTGCAGTCTCCCCTCTGCGGTGCCAGCTCTGGTGACATCCCTGATCTCCTGCTGCCACCTGCTGAGAAGCCCAAACCAGCCCCACCACTCCAATCCACCCCAGCCAGGCAATATTTCCCCCCTGGATTTCCAAGTTCCACGTGTGGGAATAATGATCTGGGCCAGAAGAAACCGGGGTGAACTGGCAGAGACAGTACCACGGATGCAGGGGGCACCTGTCTCTGCCCTTCATTTCCAAAGGTATGGAATCATTCTTGGAGGCCACAGGAACTCTTTGAGATGTGGCTGGGCATGAACTCTCCACACATGCACGATCCACATGTGACACCAACAGAGGAGTGTTTTGGGATGGACTTTTTTCCCCAGTGGGATCACCAGTAATGAACCAGCTGCCCATCCAGCAGGAAAAAGAAGAAAATAAGATGTGCAGAGATCTGGCGTAGATGAAGAGACATAGAAATGCAAAGTTTCCTTTCAATACTTAACCCTCTTCCTTTTCCAAAGCACTCAGTCTGGCCACACAGAGATCTGTTAGTTCAATGAAAAGCATGGCCCTTAGAACAGGAATTTCATCATTACCCAGACCAAAAGCTCCATTAAACCTGCACAGACTTGTCACCTACTTCAGAAAATCCTATTTAGAGAAGCTTGCATAAAAACAGCTGCTGGAATAATTTAGGGTTCCGAGTTTATTTAACCCATAAGTTGAGGGTGACATTGTTTGTTTCCTGAGCTGAAATCTCACACAAAGTAATTCCATGATGACCAAGCACATAGCCAGGACACAGGCTTGGACTTGGATTCACCATGGAGGCCTCCAAGCTTTGTACCATTTCCTTCCTCCTAACCCACCAAAATACTGTGAATTGGCAAGTAAAAGCCAACACTAAATGGGAATAAAACTCCACACAAAATTGTGCTACTCACCTCTTGTACCTCCAGCTGCCTCTCCTGTTCTGCTGGTTCCCTCGGCTGCTCAACCTGCCTGCCCTCCCTTGCCTGTTGAACCTGTCAACCTCCTCGTAGTCCTCAGCACCTACAACACCTAAAACAGGGGGAGGGATGATCACTCTCAGTTATTTCTCTAATGTGGGCATCACACCGTGCCTAAGAAATACAAAATATACTGGTAGAAATAAATTGTCTTCATTTTCTTCTGATGACCAAGTCAGCAGCTCTCCTAAAATTACCTGTCCTCATTAAACTCACACAAAGGGAAAAAATCCCACAGAAATGCAGGCAGGAAGGGATGTCTGGGGATATCACCTGCTCCAGCCCTTTACTCAAAGCAAGGCCAGCTCTGAAACTACATCACAGGGCTTTGTCTGGGCAAGTTCTGGTTATTTTCAACCTCTGCAGCTTCTCAGGCTGGAGAAGCCTTCTCAACCTCTGCAGCTTCTCAGGCTGGAGAGGCCTTCTCAGCCTCTAAGGTGCTGCTCCAGAGCTTGTCTACCTCCTTTGGGAAGAATTTCTTTGTGGCTATAAAATATCCACCAGGTGTTCTTGAAAAACTCCTAGAGAATAAGAGCCACAGAATGATTTGGCTGGTGGGAGGGACCTTAAAGAACATCTTGTTCCTGAGCAGGGACACCTTCCAGCAGAGCAAGCTGCTCCAAGCCCTGTTCAACCACGGGCACTTTGAGGGATGGAGCAGCCCCGGCTGTGCCTCCCCCCTCTCCCGGGTGGCCGTGGGTGCCCCCTGGCCGGCTGACCCTCGGTCCTGCGCGGGTGCCGGGGGGTGTAGGTGAACTGCAGGTCGATGTGGCGGTTCTGGCGCGCCTCGGCGCGGCTCTTGCTGTGGCAGGCGCTCTTGTGGGCCTTGTAGTCGATCTCGGTGCGGAAGGCGTGCGTGAACTGCTCCGAGCTGCAGCGGCCCTCCTCGCACAGGAAGTGCTTCTCCCTGAAGTGCTCCCGCAGGTATTCGTAGTCACTGGCAAGGGAAAACACAGAGCTGACCCTTCCCACCCTGTGACACAGCCACTCCTGAAAGGGTGGTGCCTTTAAGCTTTAGCTTTCATATTTCCACATTCCACTGCACTAGTGTGTGACTCTGAACTTCACATCAATCAGCAAGTTCTCCTCACAGCCCAGTCAGGCACAACAATCCTTTTCCAGCCCAAAAACCAAGGATACTGTTGCCTTGGTTGTTGCAAGGGAACATCCAAAGGGATGTTTGGATATCACCTGCTCCAGCCCTTTACTCAGAGCAAGGCCAGCTCTGAAACTACATCACAGGGCTTTGTCTGGGCAAGTTCTGGTTATCTTCAACCTCTGCAGCCTCTCAGGCTGGAGAGAGGACTCAAATCAATGATCTGCTTGCCTGTAGTACTCCTGAGCCCCCTCAGAGTCACAGAAGTGGCAGAAGTAGTGATCCCTGCGCAGGTGTTTCAGCAGCTCGTCGTTGTCCAGGTAGCGCTCGTCACAGAACTTGCAGAGGGGGTGGCCCCGGTGGGAGGTGTCATCGGGGTCCCCGTGGATCCTGTGCCGGGCCAGGTCCTTCCTGGAATACCATTTCCTCTCGTAGGTGAAGATCTGGAGATCAGGTATTGTGTTAATACATTTGTATTTATACATTTGTATCTATACATTTGTATTGTTTCCTATGGACACAGAACTAAACGGAACAAGTCAAGCTGTGTCCATCTGTAAGGGTGGGAGATTTGCTCCAAAAAGATGCAGTATGACCACCAAGAGCTGAAATTTTTGGTGGACAGGAAATAAAATTCAAGTGATGGATTTAATTAAATCTAACTTGCATTTCCCTGAACACTGGAAATGGATTTAATTCACTTTTCCTCCATTGAAATCTTTTTATGCTATACTGAGTTTAAATTATAATCTCTGGGGTGGGAAAACCCTAACTATGTATTTATCAACAAACAGTATTTTGCATTCTCAAAATTAGAAACCCCAGGTGAGCTGTTTTACTTTCCTCTCACAATAACCACCCCAAACAGCTGCACACGGAGGATCCACTTCAGTGAACAATTTGTGTATCACAAGACAACCCTCTGTCCCCACTACCACGTGAGCTGTTTTGGTAGGAAGGATTCTGGAGATGCCAAAAAGATCAACCCAGCCTTGAGAAGAGAATATCCTTTATTTCTGGCCTAGACAAGGACCAGAAATAAAGGTCTGGGAAAAGGTCTTGCTCTGGGAAAAGATTTGTTTGGCTTTGCCAAGGATGATGGACTGAAGCTTCCACAAGTTTAAAAGTTTCTTCTCAGTGGGTACAAGTAACATGGGACTTTTTTCTTTGAAATAAAAAATCTCTACAATATTCTGAAATTAAAAAGCAAGAGTTTTAATATTGTTTGTGTGAGAAAATGGCAAACAAGTTCCCTCAGTGCTGGCTACGTACACTGAGCATGAAGCACCTCACCAGAGCTCAAAGGACACCAGAAACCAAAGGAGGTTCTGCCTTCCTTTCCCACTTCCCTTCAATCAGCTCCAGGGATTCCAAAAATCACAGGAAAGACTCAGCTCAGTTCCCAAACTTATCAGGGTTCATTTAGGTCTCACTCCTTTTTGGCAGCAAACTCCAGTTCACCTGGCACGAACCAACTGTGGCAGCACCACCGTGGGGTTTAATTTAAAATCTGGAGAACCTCCAGACCCTCTTCATTAATCAGTTTATAGAAGGAGAAAGGCTTAAAATAAAGCAATTGGCCTCACTGCAGGAAGAGGGAACTTAAATAAATCCTTGCTGTTCTGCCTTCCCATCTTCCCAGGAACTCCTGGAGGTCATGGAGGGAAAACCCTTTCCTTCCCACACATCCAAGCAGAGGCCCAGCTCACCTTTAAGTGTTTAACACAGAGCTTGCAGCAGAAGAGCTCGTGCTGCTTCCTCATGTGCTGTTCCAGATCTGCAAAGGTGTTGAAAGGCTTTGCATCCGGGCACAAGGAGCACTCGTGCTGCAGCAGCTTCCTGAGGGATGAGAGAGATTCCCAAAAATGATCCAATTGCCTCTCAGCACTCTGACACCTTCAGCAAAACACAAAGTTCCATCCCTGGCAGATGGCTCCAGCTTTATGGCTGCCCCTGCAATCTGCAGACAGGGTTGTGACTTGGTTATTCCAAGAATTCTGCTGGATGGCAGGAATGGGATGGAACCAAATCACACTGAGGTTCCAACTGTGGGCTCTGAACAGCCACAGAGCAGGAACCACACTGTCACTGCAAAACTGAGTAAACTGAAACAAACCCTTCATTCCCCTGCTGGAGATTCAGCTGATTCCTGCAACATTCACTTCCAATCCCATTACACTTCCCACTGTCAGAAACTGAGGAAGACAGTGGGGACAGATAAAGAACTGTATTAGGACAGGAGGGAAAAACCCCACCCCAAAACCTCACCACACAATGGTTCCCAAGAAGAGCTGAGCTCTGGTCTCACTAGGAGACTCCCACTCCCTCATTCCCACAAATATCAAGCCATGCTAAACTGTAAATGTACCAAAGTTACATTCTCAGCCCAAATCAGGGTGAATATAATGCCCAATTCTCCAAGGAAAAGGCTCCACTGCCTGCATGGATTCATCTTTTCCACTTCTCCTTCCGTTACCTCAAACCCTCCCAATTAAGATTGTTATTTAAAAGATTTGTAGAACACAATGCTAATGCCACGTTTTTTATTCTTCACTGGTTTTACTTCACCTTTTTTCTCTTCCATTCAGAATTAAGATCTTTGTATGAAGACAATGTTACTCTTCATGCAATACTTGGCACACCTGGGTTTGGTTAGTCCTTATTCAGCACAGCAGTAATTACAATTATAACAGTAATTAAGTCTTTATCAATTTTCACAGCAGCCATGCAAGGAATGGGAAGGTTTTCAGCAAGTCTGCTGCTGTTAAAGATGCCAAAAATGACTTTTATTGAGAGAGCAAAGCTTGTGCTGTTGTGTTGGTGAATCCAACACTGCAGCCCCGAGGAGCTGATGAGTGCCCAGTGCCCTGCTCCTGGCTGTCACCTTGCCAAAAACACCTGCACGGGCAGGTGACTCACATCCCCAAAATCCCAGGAAACCACAGCACCCCGCCCTCGCACAGCAGCGCTTCCTGCCACGTCCTGTGCACCACCACGTGCTCGAGGGACATTCCAGGGAGGAGCTCACCTGTACAGCGCATAAACCTCCGCATCCATGAAGTAAATGTCGTATTTCTTCTCATGCTGCAGCTGCTGCAGGGCTATGGAGGAGAAGGATGGGAGCTTGCGCCCGAACACCACCTGTGGGAACAGCACCGGGATCAGCTGTGGGATTCCAGGCACAAACTCTGGGAGCTTCCCACGCACTTGTGCCAGCCTCAGCTGTCACCTCCCCCGGGCAATGTCCCCTGCTGCCAGCAGGGCCACGGGACATGTCAGCAACCCGCCAGGGATTGGCCCAGCCTGGCCTCTGGAGTTTGAACGAGATTAGGAAACGTTTGTGGTCTGTTTTGCTCCTACAGCTGTTCCCAGAGCAAATATCCTCAACCAACACAACCCCTTCCACAGCCAATGCTTGGCAGGAGCCCTGCCCTCGGCTCCTCCCCGTCTCCTGGAGGATCACACCAACCTGGAGTCTCCAAGTGACAAGTGACTCAGTGTCTCGGGGTGGCAGGGAAACCACTGTTTCTTCTTTCCTTAACTCCAAGGAAAGCGAGGAGCTGAACACACAACAGTTCCTGAATTATCCGAACCACACACCCCTCTCAGGGCATTTCCTTGCTCCCAGCTGCCCTGGCTGGGCTCTGAGCACTGCAGCTCCCACTGCCTGCTCCAGCACACATTCCCAGCCTGGGAATTACTGGGGCAGCAGAAACCTCTAGGTAACAGCTGGAGTTACCAGCGCTGAAAGGCTAGAGACATAAATACAGTAAAGAATTTCAGTTCTTACAGCAAAAGCTACATTATAAACTAGAAGTAGATTCCCAGAGCAGCTGGGGCTGTCCCTGGATCCCTGGCAGTGCCCAAGGCCAGGCTGGACGGGGCTGGGGCAGCTGGGACAGCGGGAGGTGTCCCTGCCATGGCAGGGGTGGCACTGGATGGTCTTCAAGGTCCGTTCCATTCCAAACCACTCCAGGATTTTACGATTCCATGATCCCTCTTAAGAGCTGATACCTCCTGGAGCAGGGAGCAAAGGCTCCATTCTCTGCTGCCAGAGCGAGTCCTGCTGCCTTCACACCATAAACATTCACTCTAAACTCCATTTTCTTCACATTTTGTTTCCCACTCGCCCAGAGGGCGGCGGCACCCCCGGGAGCGGGGCAGAGGGCGGATAACCCGGGCCGTCCGTGCCCGCCGCTTCCAGCGGGCACATTCCCCGTCCGCGCCGCGCCCGAGCGCTGNGCGGCCTCGGCCCCGCGCCGCCCCGCCCGCACCACTGAGCGCGGGCTAGAGCGCCGCCCCACCATAGAGACGTGCACTCTCACAGCGCTCATCGGCCATAGAGCTCCGCCCAGAGCGCCGCCGCGCTGCCGGAATGGATTCCGCCCAGGGCGACAGCACCACCCGCCCAGTGCCGCCGTGCGGTCCTCCAGCGGCGGCCATAGAGACGCAGCGCGGTGACCATAGAGATGCGCAGGGCGGAGCGACCCCAGCCCGGCCGCTCTGGCTCCCTCTCGGTGGTTGCTCTGAGGAGGAGGAGGACGACCCCGGCTGTTCGGGGGTCTCGGACACATTTGGGGTCCCCAAATCCTTGGTGGTTGTGGGGACGCGGGGACCTCAGACTCTGCACCTCAGTCTGTGGGGACATGGGGGACCTCAGGCTCTGCCCCTCAGCCTGTGGGGACATTAGGGGCCTCAGCCCATTCCCGTCCCCTGCTGCTGATTTATGTGGGATTTTCCCAGGACAAACACCTCCCCTGGGGTGCAAACAGACCCTCCATGGATTCATCAGATCGACAGTTCCGCCTTTTGATTTAATTTTTAATTTTATAACCCAGATGTGCATTTTCCCAGGTAAACTGGGGGTGATTAGGGAAATAAAAGTGTTAAAAACGTACATGAAACACTGCAGGCGCTGGGATTGTGTATTATTATAGATACACATTATATTATTGGCTTTTTGCAAATATTGAAATGAATGTTATATATATAAGATTAGAAAATTTTGTTGTATTAATATAGTTCCTTTATATATTTCTGTTACTGATGAAACTTAGAAATAGCAATATAATACATGTATGTTGAGCTATGGCATAGTATTAAAACAAAAACTATCTTTGTTTGTATAACCCAAAGACTGAAAAAGATTCAGACCTCCCTGCATTCTTAAATTATTCAGATGAGGACAGCAGTGACCAGAGCTCTGGGGGAGGAATTTATTGCATTTCTGTTATCAGGGAATGTGAAACTCGGTGGAGCCAAGAAGATTGATTTATTGGGAAGGGGGCAAGAGAAAACTAAACAGAAGAACACCAAAGATCCTAAGAAGAATGTATGAATATATATGAGAATTTATGGATATGTAGTAGGATTCTATTTTTAAGGGACAATCCTATGTTAGTAAGGTTTGCTCTCTTGGCTGAATGCAGAGACACCCGGCTGTATCTGTATATTTTATTTATTATTATTTTTATCTCCTAATTGTCTTTCTATTAAACTTATAAATTCTATACAAAAATATGCGAACCTCGTTTTTCACAGTAGCCACTAGAGCAGGAACACAGATGAGCTCAGTGTAATATAAATAAACCTTTATTTGCTGCAGGCGCTCAGTCACACACAGCATCCAGGTTCCAGCTCTCCAGAGCCAGCCCAGGTGAGCTGGGGTCACACCTGGGTGGAAAAGGGAAAGCTGTGTCCCCGTCCTGCCCTGTCAGCTCATCCCCGATTGAAATCCTCCCTGTTCCTGAGGCGCAGAGATGGGAATTGCGGCTGCCTGGACAGGAGAGGGTGCTCCAGGAGCATGGAAAAATGCTTCAACAGCGGCCATGTTCCTCTAGAAGTGGAAAAAAGGAGGAAAAAAAAATGATAAAAGCTTGTTTGGCGACAGCGCAGAGGAACGCACAGGAAGTTTTTCAAAGTTTGCTGTCTCCCAACTCTTTTTCTTCACAGATTCCTGCTAAGTGACCAACATAGGATCACCGAGTCATAAAACCTTGGAATGGTTTGGGTTGGGAGGGACCTCGAAGCCCACCCAGTGCCACCCCTGCCACTATCCCAGGGTGTTTTAAGCCCTGTCCAACCTGGCTTTGGACCCTCCCAGAGATCCAGGGGCAGGCACAGCTCTGGGAATTCCATCCCAGCTCTTCAGCATCCTCACAGCCAGGAATTCCTTCCTCATATCCCATCTAACCCTGCCCTCTGGCAATGGGAAGCCATTCCCCCTTGCCCTGTCACTTCAGTGCATGAAATTCCTACTGAATTCCTAGGATTAGCACCTTTATGGTCCCAATCTTCTTTCTTTTCCCTGAATTCCTTGTCATTTGAGTCAAAAGTTGCTCTTCGTTTTCTTTGAGCCATAAACAATCATTTCAGAACAAAGCAACTCATCAAACAGATCATTAAAACATCCCCATGATGTTCACCAGCCTTGGTTAACAACATCTATGCCATCAAATAAATTAAGTAATAGATTTGTTAAGTGTTTGGGAACAGATAATGAAGGATTTGAACAATTTGGATCATTGGGTACAACAGGTAATATTTACTTTCTCCTAGAGAGCCCCATTTATCCCTCTTGAGCGTGGAGTGGGATAACACACGTCTTGCTAATCAGAACTGAAGTGTGTTTGGGTGGGGCTGCGTGGAATAATTAGGAATGACTGGGGATGCTGGCTGTAATTACTCCAGGAAATGTTCCCCGAATTAATGACGCTGTTGAAAATGTTTTTGTGCCCCAACTGCATCACCCAATTTTGGAGAGCAATTAGCATGAAATGAGCTGGAGGCTGCTGGCAGTGCTGAGTGTCACTTGGCTGGGCAGTGACACCATGGCTCAGGATCACAAACACACCTGAGGAACTGGGCTGGAAAGGGACATTACTCATTGCCAGGACGATGGGACACGGACACTCAGCAGGAGTTGGGACATTTCAGAGCTCAGCTCTGGTTGGTGACATCTTTTCCCACCAGCCCAGGAGCACCCAGGACCTGATCCAAAGCCCTGATCCTGCCAAGTGTGTCCATAGCAGTGTGGTTTTCCCCCAGGAGCGTGTGATCTTCCTGGTCCTGTTGTTTTCCAGGCAGGCAGCAGCTCCTCAGCTGGGGCAGTTTCTCCTTTTGGGATGTTATTTGTTATAATCAGTGTCTGGGGGGGAAACCACTGAAGATTCCGTGTCCCTTCATGGTGCAGGTGAACTTCCCCCACCACAGACAGCTCGTGCTAGGTCAGATCCCATCCTCAATTTTCAGATCCAGGGAGTTCATTTGGAACAAAACCCATGTAAGGATATCACAGAATGTGTGGGAAGGAACTTTAAAGATCATCTGTGTTCCTTCCAGCACAGGCTGGAGGCCAGATCCATCCCTGACCTCTCCATCCACCATGGAATGATCCATCCCAGCTTTTGGCACGTTGCCATTGGCAAAGTTGGGTGTCTTTAGCACCTCTTGTTCTTCCTCCACAGCACGTGTTCTTCTTCCACAGCAGCCCTTCCATGGCACCATGGCCTCAGGCTGCACCAGGGAACCTTCAGGTGGGATATTGGGAAAATTCCTTCATGGAGCCCAGCACAGGGCAGTGTTGGAGTCCCCATGCCTGGATGTGGCACTTGGGGACACAAATGAGTGCTGGGAGCATGGTTGGACTCAGCGGTGTTGGAGCTCTGTTCCAACAATGATTCTGTGATTCCATGATTCCATATCCTGCTAACACAGCTCTGCTGCTACCATGACTTTTCCAGCAGTTGAACACATCTTTCCACAGCTGTAAAATGCCAAAAAAGCCCCTCTCTGTTTCATTTTGACATCATCACATAAGATATTCCCACTCTTCTGGCATTCCCCCCATCATCAAGCAGCACAAAGAATTGCTAAAAAGCCAACATTGAAACCTTCAAACTTCACCAAAGCCTGGTTCCAGCTCCTCACCCTTCTGGAGAACCATCCTGCTGGTGCCTGTGAGTCATGTGTTGAGATTAATTTATTTTGTGGTGCAGAAAGGTTTTTATAACCCTGTTTGAAGGGATTGAATCATTCTTTGCTGATGATTTAAAGATGCTGGTTTATTTCTCTGGAGATTGCAAATGAAAGCCGGATCTTAGCACTGAGTGTGACCCCAAAACATAAAGAAATAAAATTTTATAGGATTAACTGGGTTCTAAATATCTTAGATGGTGCTTAGTTCTATGTGTTGGCAGGCAGGGAATGTTTCCTTCTCAAGAAAA